TATCGATGCCAATATCGTTGTAGCCTGGTGACATCGTGTGTATAACATTTTTGTATAGCTCACAAAGAATCTGTACACTGAGTATGGAATTCCTGGTTGTCTAGGGCCACCATGACTGCTCCAACCTCAACTGAATCAAATCATATATACATATATATATATATACATCTATATAATACATATCCAAGTGCAAACATATATATGTTAGCATATGTATATGTATACATGTATATACATATACAGATATAGAAATATATCATACAAACCTGATCTGATTCAAAATTACCAGCAACAAGTAGGTCGGCACAATCTTGTTCACAACTATCCGCATCACTGCTAAAAGATCGAAAAACATTCATCGACAAATAAAAAGGATTAAAAAGTTAACTGTTAGAGTAGACCTTTCTTTAGCATCCAATCTAATCGAAAGATCCCTATCAGAGATGTGTCCGGCTTTGCCTAGTGGAATCGCTTTCAAGTTTTCTACAACAAATTATGTAATCGTCGTACTACAACAAGATTGTAGTGTTGACATCAGCCATAAAGAGTGTTAAATCTGAAACCTACCTCTACGTCCTTTTGATCTAGTAAACCGAATGACTTTCCTTTTCTTACGTGACGCGTCAGGACGGCGAAAAGGGTTCCCATTATTGCCATGTAGAATCCGGTAAACGAGTGGAATACATATCCCAAATAGCTTAACGAGGAAGAAAATTGCATATTCATCCAGATGAAAAGAAGCAGACAGAAAACAAGAGAAGAAAACTAACCTTCGCGAGCAACTCACCATACACTCTCTCCATTATCTGAGAGTTTATGGTTCCGCTAAGATCTGACAAGTGCTCTTTTTCAAAATATTCTTCTAAACTAAAATCCATACAACTAAGCATCCGTTGGTCCTAAAATTGCAACAACTAGAAAAGCTACCGTGATAAATAAAAAGTACCAGACAACACACGACTATTTATATGGGCCAAAAACCAACAGCTAAGGAACTGCTTGATTTGCTGGGAAGTTTTTTCGACTCTTCGCGGAGATGGAATCGGACGTGTTTAGATATTTCATCACGAATTCGCATCGAATCCCTCACTCGAGATGGCGACCATTGACAAACCATACAGGTTACCACACTGTAAAGAAATGTGAGCAGACTTTAGAGTCAGAAAAAAGCTAAACTGAATCACATAGATTTCAATAAAAACCAAAATTTGTTTCACTGACGTACCTAACACCAGACATTTTTCTTCGAAGTAGAAGCTTTCCACACTGCTTCTTTTGAGTGGAAGTTCTATTTGAATTTGTATCTGAGACTACCTGATTCCAATGAATAACGCTAATCCCATCTTCAGATTCTCCCTCAACATGAGTTCTTTCCTGAAATGCCAAGGAAATAAACGAATAACTTCTACAAGACCTTCAAACGAGGCAAAATATAAAATGCATCGAAATAACTTCAGCAAACGACTTCCAAACCAAACCAACTTTAGAATAAGCATGATGTGTCACTTTTTGGCACGGTGAAGCTGACATTTCGGCAGAATTCGCCTTCTTCACAGCCCGGAAATGTCAAGTTGACTGCAATCTACCTACCTAACTACCTCAAACACATGTGAAAATTCCAGTTAACTTGACCTTTCCAGGCTCTGGAGAAAGTGAAATCGCCGAAGCGTCAACTTTGCCGTAATAACGGATAAAGACACCTCATGTTTGCTTAACAAGAATATGGAGAACTGTTTGATTAAAGCCGAGGTTAATCGAAAGTCAGTGTGGGAACTACTTCAGAGCATTGAAACTGTACAAACATTTGTGCTGCATTTTTTTTTTGATATTTTTCAGTAAGAAAAAACGGATGCGCATTACATTACTGTATGCTCTTAGACCTTGTACACAAAATAATCTTACAAAACCACGTAAAGCACTGGTCTTACTAGGTCTCAAAATTACACCTGATTCCAGGATGAATTCCGTTTGTTAAGAATTTGCATCATGCTAACCTCCATTCGCTTATCTTCTGTGACAGATCTCCTGCTTACAGTTCTCTCGCACGTTGATTCATAGCTCTGAGGAGGTGGTTGGTGATGCAAAGGTCTTCAACATCCAGGTTAGCTTACAAATAATCACTTACAACGTTAGTGTTAACTTCATCTATTGCTGAACTCCCAGTCGATAGAAACATATGGCCTGATTCACCATTATTGCATGGATTTAGCTCAGCATCATTGTCACCATTGCTCTGTAACATTCGGGACATCCTATAGTAGTTAATAGAAAGCAAAAAAGATACAGAGAAAAGAAGACTAAAAAAAACCAAAGTAACAGAGTAGAATAAATAATAACTTACTAAGTCAACAGTGGTCCCATCGTCGACATCCGAGTCGGTCACATCGGTAATCTCATCAGAACTTAAACAGCACAAAATATTTTATTGTCAGACATTACGTATCACAAGGGCAATGACTATATGAATAACACTAGATGCAGTGAAAAAATCATTTCCTGTAAAACTATTCCCATTAAGAATTCAAAATTTTTAGGGAACTTACCACACAAGAGTCCTTTTCCAAATAGTTTACAAAGTGTTGATGACCTAAGAAACCGAAGGACCGCTTTTGAAACGGCAAAAACGAAAAAGCTTGCCCAAGCAACAAATTAGGAACCAGAATAACACTGTACTAAGATTCGCAGATTAAGATTGAAGATTATTCGTGAATCATGAAGAAAGGCCATTCAAATAGAAGCAGCCAGAAGTTATTGCTTAGTCCCCTGAACTTCTTTAGGTCGTAACAGCTGCGCAGTTTCACAAGTGTTAGAGGGCAATTACACCTGCTGTTTATAGATCACAACTTCCTCAGCAACTCATCATAACCGGAAATAGCATGAGATAATAGAGCTACTAACAGTTAGTATCCAAACAGACTCGTGTTATAGTACTAATGGTGAGAAATAAAAGTGATATTGGAATATACGTCCTTCCAAAGACGCGTGTAGCGCAGCGATCGAAGGCGCCCTACAATACACATGCGATCGATCCCCGCGCCCCAAGCTCACCAAACCTTACAACCGTCCCAGGTCGGCAAATTGGTACCAGACTTGTCTAGGAGGAGGGTAATGATGCTTGATGAAGCCGAATGCATGGAGCATCCCTCAGGTATTGGTCAACTCCCAGCGCTTATAGAGCTTCTTTATGTTCATCCACGTCAGTAAATTGAAAACTTTGCGAATTCGTTGTAAATTTCAGAGAATCGTCAATACATTTCAATTCACAATATGTTTACCTTTCGGGTATGCTCCTCGGCAACTGCTTTTCCTGGAAGGTACTGAGAAGATACCGTGGATCGGAGAAATCGCACACCACATCGTCAGCAAGGACATCGACATGATCTTGCTCAAGGTGTTTTACCTAAATCAGAGCTTTGGGAAATAAATATGGAGCGCAGGTTTCGAAGAAGTGTGGCTCACAAGGTCCAGATCATTAAACATGCAGCCAAAAATGCATGCAGTGCCACTTGTCTTCAGCGCAAAATCACAGATTGGACAGATGAGAACTGGAGAAGGCTCGAGCAGAGCCTCAAAAGCAATTCGATGAGCAGCAGCATGAGCACGACCCTTGTCGAAATCGCGTAACGATGACCCAGAGATCTGAATATAACTGAAGCATACGGTTTTTCCTTCCTGACAATGGCATTAATTGATTTACCCACAGAAACAACGAGAACACTACTCGTCAATCGATAAGGACAACAACAGTTATCAAAGAAGGAAGTGAAGACAAAGATCAACCAGAAAAGGTCGTCGACACAGATCTTCTTACCTGAAACGCTGGACAATGCTTGCACTCGTAGAAAGCTTCGGGATCGATCCGAACTCCGGTCTGTTCACTTGCGATTTTGTCGTATAAATCACTTACAACAAGCTCCACCATAACATCCAAGAGCTGCTTATTTCCACTGGAAACGTAGGGAAATACAAGCAGAATGACATGTAACAGGACCATACTTCAGAGAAAAAAGTGGTTTAACAAAAGAAAACTAAAGCATGACGCGATTTCTTCGAAAAATTCTGAAGCCGCACTTGAAATCAGTATGGATGCCACTTGGTTTACAAAAGCAAACGGATACTGAATAGAATAAAGAGGAGTGAAAAAGGTTAAACGATCGATATACGTGGTTTCCACAGTTCTTCACAATCTGAGCGCATCCTAATGATCATCACTTCCACCGGAAGATAGCAGCACATTGCGCTACTTTAATGAAGCAAAAAGAAACGAATACTGAACAGAAAGAAGAAGCATACAAAGGTTGAAACCACCGATATACGTGATCTCTTGCCGCTCCTCACAATCCGAGCATGTTTTAACGATCAGCTCTTCTAATGGACGGCGGTAGTTTCTCGCTCCATGGCCAAACTGGTACGCAGGAGAGCTGAGGTGATGCCCTCCAGCAGGTCAAATGAGTTATTTGACATTTTGAGATGTCGTGAAGCTTTCAGATAGGTAACATGCCAATCCCAAATAGCTAGTTTATCGATGTTTTCGACTTTTCACTACTCTTTTTTTTACCTACTGCTTGTTTTTTTTATATAAATAAGGCGATTTCCATGCCGATTACAGGTGCAGTTGCAGATATCCTCTAATATATTGCCATATAGGTGTTCTTTTTTTCGTTTATTTTTACTTAAATGGTATGTGGTATTGCCATCGTCCGGTCGAAGTGCTGTTGGTCTAAGCATGATCAGAGTGCGAAGAGCTGCTGAGAACCATGTATTTCGATGGTTTCGACCTTTTATGCCTCTTTATTCTGTTTAATATCCGTTCCCTTTCGTTTAAACAAGGTGGCATCTATGCAGACTTTAAGTACGGCTTAATAAATTCTTGAAAAATCGCAACATGCTTTAGTTTTCCTTTGTTAAACCACTTTTTTCTTTAAAATATGGTTGTATTCCATATGATTCTGCTTGTATCTAACTGTCTTTCCAGTTAAAAGAAGCAGTTCGTCGATGTTATGGTGGAGCTTGCTGTAGGTGATCTGTATGATCAAGTTGCAAATACACAGAACGGGGTTCGGATTCATCCTGAATCGTTCTACGAGTGCAAGTATTGTCCAATGTTTCAGGTAAGAAGAGCTATGTCCAGGTTTTCTGGTTGGTCATTATGTTCACTTCTTTCCTTGATTACTATTGTTGTCCTTATGAATCCTTCCAACGTTTTGCCGCCTCATCGTGGTTTGGTGTTCCTGGGTGTCGGGCTGAGATGTACAGCGTGGGGATTCGTCCCCTCACCAAGGTGTCCCAAGATGCGAAGAAGTCGGGCGTTTCCGTCAGGAAGCCTATGTAAGAGTAAACAAGTGCTAGGATCCACCATCGTTCTAGTATCAAACTAGTCTCATGGTGGCAGCTCTGGCTCTGATCCTCAAGGGCTGCTACTACCTGTGGCAGTGATGACCTGGGGCAGACTTTAGCCAGGCTGATTTTGGATTCCAGAGGAGCACGGTGGCTGAACTAACAAAACTTCAAAGAATGGGAGGTATTCTGAGGCCCGCACAACCAATGAGGACGGGCCGTCCAAGTATCGTAAGTAAGTAAGTCCTTATGAATTGACGAGTGGTGCTTTCGTTGTTTCCATGTGGTAAATCAATGAATGTCATTGTTAGAAAGGAAGAAGCGTATGTTTCTGTCGTTTTCAGATCTTATTGATATACTTTGTTGAACTGATGCGAGGTTGGTATAAGTTGTTGTTGTGGTTGTTGTTTTTGTTGCTGTTGTTGTTGTTATTGGTCTATGGCTGACGTTCCGGCGATTTCGCTTCCCCCAGAGCCGAAGTGTTGCATCATGCAATAATGTTGCATCGTAGTGTAATCAGTCATGTTGCTTGTGGCAACATCACGGCTCTGAGGAAGGCGAAATCGCCGAAAAGTCGGCCATCAAACAACAGCAACAACGACTCTACTAACTTCGAATCAGCTCACCAAGATCAATTCATAGGAACGTATAACTAAGTATATCTATCATTTATGCGGAGTTTTATAGAAAACTGGTCTTTTGAATCGTTTTCAGATCTCTGGTTCGTCGTTACGCGATTCCAGCAAAGGTCGTGCTCATGCTGCTGCTCATCGAATTGCTTTTGAAGCTCTGCTCGAGTCTTCGCCTGTTCTCGTCTGTCCAATCTGTGATTTACCGCAAAAAACAAGCGACACTGCATGCATTTTCGGTTGCATGTTCAATGACCTGGACCTTGTAAGCCATAATTATTAGGCAGTTTGCTGCATATTTGTTTCTCAAACCTCTGGTTTAGGTAGAACACCTTGAGCAAGATCATGTCGATGTCCTTGCTGACGATGTGGTGTGTGATTTCTCCGATCCAAGGTATCTTCTCACTACCTTCCAGGAAAAGCAGTTACCGAGGACCATATCGGAAAGGTAACCACGCTTTGAAATGAAATATATTAACGAATTTCTGGCCTTTACAATGATGTCGTGATAGTTTTCAATTCAGTAACATGGAGAGACATTAAAAAAGCTTTCGGCGTTGATCAATCTTTGAAGGATGCGTCATGCATCCGACTTCTTTAAGCATCGTTGGAGGTGGTTGAATGCATATCTGGCCTTTGTAGCCACGCTTGGTGGGCTACCAATGTATCAAGCCAGTGCTGTTATCCTCCCAGACAAGTCTGCTACAAATCTGCCGATCCCCGAGGTACGGAAGGCTTGGTGAGCTTTGGGAGCGAGGATCGATCCCGAATATATCGCAGTGTTTCCGATCACTGCGCAACAGGCACCTTTAGATGAATATACTTTATTTCAATGATGCTGAGATATTTACAAAACTCCGGACCTCAGGTGTATGCGGTGGGGAACGAACACTCGCTGTTGTCCATACCGGAGAGCAGCGCACTTCACCACCACACCACACTTTATTTCATAATTATTTTATTTTTCAGTATTAGGACTGTGACACAAACTCATCTGAATATTAACTGTTAGTAGCTTTAGCAGCTCATGCTATCTGTCGGTAATGGTGGTTTGCTGAGGAAGTTGTATTCTATACCAAGCAGGTGTAATTACTCTCTCACACTTTTGAACCACGCAGCTGTTACGACATAGGCAAGTTCAGCGGACTAAGCGGAAACCTTCCTTGCATCGCAATTGGTTGTCTTCCGGTTACTTTCTGATACTTGCTCGATACTTCTATTTGAATAGTCCGTCTGCAGAATCATGAGCAATCGAACGCGATTTACAGAAAAATTTCATTCTGGCTCCTAATTTGTTGATTGGGCAAGGTTTCCCTCATCTGCCGTTTCGAAAGCCTTCCTAAGGTTTCGTAGGTCATCAGCACTTGGTAAATGTTTGGAAAAGCACTCTTGTGTGTTAAATTCGTTATGGATTTTGAAAATATACTGAAAAATAGTCTCATTTGAGATGGTTTTTTATCACGACGTCGAGTGTCATTCACATAGTCATTGGTCTAATGATGCGTAATGTGTGACCATAAGATATTTTGTGCTTTATTCTAGTTCAGAGGTTACCGTTGTCACGGACTCGGATGTTGACGATGGGACCACTATTGACCTAGTAGGTTATTATTTATTCGACTTTGTTATTTATGCGTTGTTAGTTTTTATTTATGTGTATCTTCTTCGATTTTATTAACTAGGATGCGAAATCTCGAAGGTTACAGAGCGATGGTGACAACGACGCTGAGCTGAATTCGTCCAGTAATGGTGAATCAAGCCATAAGTTTTTACAGACTGCGGGCTTAGTAATGGATGAAGTTAACCCTAACGTAGTAAGTGATTATGTGTAAGCAAACTTTATGATGAAGATCCTTATCTTTCCAATCACCCGTTCAGAGCAATGAATCCACGTGCGAGAGACGTGAAGCCAAGTACTCAGTCGCAGCAAATGAGTGTTTGGATGTCGAAGAGATAGAAATTCGTAACAAAGCTGGATCTCAGGATCAGGTGTAGTTTTTAAACTTACCATACGAATGATTTGCATGATTTTACAAGATTATCCTTTGTTGAGGGAACAACAGACTACAGTAGGGCGCATCCGTTTTTTTTTTTCTTGTAGAAGAGTACAATTAGACAAAAGTATCATATGGAAACATATTTCAGTGAAAAAAGCTAAAGCTCTCGACGTTGGTCAATTCCTGAGGGTCGAACCATGCATTCAACTTCATTAAGCATCGTTGGGGTGTGATTATTTGTATATTTGGCTTTTGCAATGACTCGCGCTGGCCTACCGATCTATCGAAATTTGTTCTCTACCCAGACAAGTCTAGCACCAATCTGCCGATCGGGGAGTGATGAAGGGCTTGATAGGCCTGGGGCGCTGGGATCAATCCTATACGTATGAGAAGGTGCTTCCGACCACTGCGCCACATGTTGCGGTACGGAAGGTGTTAAGGAAATCGGTACATTTTTATCTCAAGTGTGAACTGGTAGTCGTTAATCGGTTGTTTTCATGCGGTTGAACTTACGGCGCTCACAAATATTTGCGCAGTTTCAGTACTCTAAAGTAATTTTGATCTGTAAATCCTTCGCTACAATAGTGTGGATTCATTTCTGTTTTCCCTAGTTTGAAGGTGTCGATGTTATATGTTTATTTTCTTCGTTCTTCAGGAACGGACTCACATTGACAGAGAATCTGAAAATGGGATTAGGGTTATTAATGCGAATCAGGTAGTCGCTGATACAAGATCAACTATAATTTCTGATCAAGAAAAGCGGTGTGGGGAACTTCCGCTTCGCCGGCAAATGCCTGGTGTTAGGTACGTTAGTAAAGTAAATTCTAGTTTCTATTGAAGTCTTTGCGGTGCAACTGAATTTTTTAGCTATTCCTAATTGGCTCATATTTTTTTATAGTATGATAAGTTGTCTGGTATGTCAGTGGTCGCCATCTGTAATAAGCGACTCGATGCGAATGCGTGAGGAAATAGCTACGCACGTCCGTTTCCATATCCGTGAAGAATCAGAAAAACTTCCAAACAAATTGAACAGTTTTTTCGCTGTTGGTTTTTGGGTGATATAATAGTTGTGAATCGTCTGGTACCTCTTGTCTATCATGATAGCTTCTCTAGTTGTTGCAATTTTAGGACCAGCGGATGCTTAGTTGTATGGTTTTCAGTTTAGAAGAATATTTTGAGAAGGACCATTTATCAGATCTTAGTGGAACTATAAACTCTCAAATAATGGAGAGAGTGTATGGTGAGTTGCTCGCCAAGGTTAGTTTTCCTTTTTTTATCTGTCTGTACGTTTTTTTTTCTTCCGCATGTGTATGTAATTTTTTTCTTCGTCAAGTTATTTGGGATATGTGTTCCACTCGTTTACCGGATTTTACATGGTAATCATGGAAATCCTTTTCGCCCACCAGAGGCATCAAGTAAGAGAAGGAAAAGTATTAGGTTTCCAAGGTCAAATGGAGGCAGAGGTAAGTACTTTATCTAACAATTTCATGAACGACTTCAATATTACATACTTGTGTTGTAAAGTCATTACATAGTTTGATATAGAAAACCAAGAAGCGGTTGCCATAGCAAAAATTGGGCGTAGTTATGAAAGGAATTTCTCGACCAGCACGGATGTTACGGATAGGTTCCGTCATACCAGTTTCCTCTTTGTCCATCACGATTTCTCCGTCAGTTATTTTCCATCTTTCAGTAGTGATGCGGATAGTAGTATACAAGAGTGTGCGAACCTACTTGTTGCTGGTACTTTTGAATCCGATCAGGTTTGTATGATACATACATATATTATAAATGACAGAAAAGGATAGAGCTCTCGGTTTGTACGGTAAACGCATATATTATAAATGACAGCGAAAAGGATAGACCTCTCGGCGTTGATCAATCCCTGATCAATCGTGTGCATTCGACTTCATTAAGCATCGTTTCGTGGTGATTGAATGCATATCTGGCCTTTGATATGGCTCGCGATAGCCCATCAATGTATCGAACCAGTGCCGCTATCCTCCTATACAGATCTGTTACCAGTTCGCCGACCTTGGAGGGATGGAGGGTTTTGTGGGCCTGGTCGCCGGGATGGATCCCATGCGTATTGCAGGGCGCCTTCGACCACTGCTCTATACGCGCCCTCTACTTAAGTACATGTATTGTATACTACTTATAGACATCTATATATATATATACATATACATGTGTATATTTGGTTATATATCTTTTCGTGAGCTGTTTCTGTAAATTGCTCAGCACCGCTTTTTTTTCCGTGTGATGTTTTTTGGGGAAGTTATTACGGCATTGACTTGCTAGCTATTTTCTGCGTAATTATAACATTTTGTGGTGACATATTGTATTTGTTAATTGGAGTTGCGTGGGCGGACAGCGATAGTTGGGTTGGTCTTTCCTATGTTTGCTCTTAGGACCACTTTCTTTTCGGATTGTTTTTTCTTAGTGTAGTCTTTCGCACAGTATTCAGGATATGTTGCAAATTTTAATCATTTTTAGCATATTCAATGCGCTCGTGCCGAATGTGGCCACTCCTTGCTAGCGCTTGCAGACCGTATGGCGATTGTTCGTCATGTAGCTGCTCATATACGTCATGATGAAACACGACTTCTGAACAGAACGGGAACCTCTTCCGTAGTGGCCTGTGATTGCGGAATGGCGGTATGATAAGCATCCATAGAGAGCTTTTTTGCAAAGGCGAAATAAGAATCAATTTCAGGTTGGCTCTGCTATGGGGTATATCTACCACATAGTTCATGATCACGTATTCGAGCAGAAGCAGTTTTCCGATATTTCTGCCACAATAGTCTCATATATCATGCTTGTATTCATTTTTAGCTATACTGGTTTAGCTTTCATCCATCTTTTTAGTCGTAATTGTTATTTAAACTTTGTAGATAGTAGAGACAGCAGTCGAATCTGTGCTTTCCCTTCGCGTCGATTTCCGCGCTACTAAATGGCCGCTATGGTGTGCGTATTTCAGCCTAGAAAACGATGAAGGTGAGAAAATGTGTTAATTTCCCTAGAATTGATTGAAAACCAGTGAAGTAATTGATTACTATTTATGGAATAAAATCGTGAATTCTGACATTTCGTGGAGTTTCGAGATTCATTGAAACATAAAACAGGTGCAGGCTGTAGTTATTTCACTCTTTCGTCTAGTTAAAGAAGCCGTCCACTCGCGTTGAAAAGGGAGTAGTAATTAATGATGAATTTGCCCGAAAGGCAAGCACTGCACCAGAGCCGTTCCCTCGGTTTTCAAGCTTGCAACACAATTCCGGGGATCTGCAAGCATTTTTATTTCACCTCTTCTTGAAGCAACTGAGCAAGAGATTTGGTGCTGTTCTCGTCCTCGGAATGAGTAAGACACATGGGGTAACATTGGTTTGGTATGGTATATGGACTTATAGAGAGTTTATTGGTCTGTTCGTTTATCACTCCGTAGTTAACGCGGTTCAGTGGTGAATATCATGGACAGGAAGCGTACTTTTTAAAGAAGCTTAAAACTTGTTCAAAACATGAAGGAAAAACGAAGCAATTGCACATATTTTTTAGGTGACGAGAATTTTTTTGCTGACAGCACTGGCTTGAACGAACATTGGTTGAAGCTTTGGGAAGATTTAATTGACGAGCATATAACGGGCAAGAGTGAGTCTTAAATCATTTCCTAGAGGAAAATTTGTCATATTACATTGATAAATATTGTTTTTTCAATACAGGTATGTCACTTGGCGATACAATTAAGCTATTTGAAATGCACCCGTTTGTGGACGAGCAACGCTTGCAGTCAAGAAAGCACAAGTCTGTCTCGCTTATGAATTCGAAAACCCTTTATCGCTCACTATCTATGGTAAGAGGAAGTTCCAGAGCTTTAGATTAACTATAATGTCTTCTGCTTTAATATATTCTTATTAGTTTTTGTCTCGTTTTTCATGTTCTCATCCATATTAAGGTTTGGCGGCGACTTGATAACTGGGCCTATGATCCGGTTCATCGTACACAGCTTGCAAGTGAGTCGAGATGGATTCGTCTCGCTCAAATTCGCAGAAAAGTGTTTCTTGGAGCAAGCAAGGTTTCTTGGAAATTTACGCTTGTCTCATTTTTGGTTATGTCATGTTTCACTTGCCTTACTTATTTTTGCTATTCCAGGACGAGTGTCAAAATCCAGATATTTGGAGTAGTTTGAGGACCGCCGCAAAGTGAGTTCCATACCAGTTAACATTGCTTAGAAAGTTTAACGTTTTGTTTTCTGCCTTCTATAATTTTCATGGCAGGTTACTAAGCGAAATACAACCACAACGTTGCTGAGATATTTGCAAAACTCTGGACCGCAGGTGTCTATGGTGGGGAACGAACGCGCTATTATCCTTTCCGGGGAGTAACGCGTTCACCACCACACCATGCGGGTCCTTTGTTTCGCACGTCTCTCAGCTATTTCTATCGATCTTTTTGCCACAGCAATCACCCGTCAGCGGGGTT